TTTATTGATTAATTTAAAGGCAACACTTATTATTAGTATTATACCCCAACCAACCCAATTTGGTAGACACAAAATTTGTTAAAGGAAAAACTCGGTTGAAACATAAGGGTAGCACGCTTATTTACATCGACTTTAACATTACAGACCTGCATTTGTTTTATGCGTTCACTTGATTCCGCGAATGTGAAATAGACATGTTTATAATCAACCAATTGTGAATTTCACCGTCAAGAATTAAAATAAAACCCAATGTTTTATATAATAAGCGGAAGTCGAAGCAATAAAACCGACGGTCGTTTTGTTTACAGTTTTTCTGTTTGGCTCTCACGTATGCTGTTACGCCTGTCATCTTAAATTAAGAATGTTTATACATACACGATTTTCAGTTGCCTCTGATACGTAGGTATACGTGAGTAAATTGTTTCGTTATTTAATTGATTATTACAAATCAATATTCAAACGACCTAATTCATTTTCCCGAAAATTTGAGAATATAATAATTTTATTCTTAGTATTACACTACATCTATCCCAACTGATATACGTGACCTTGCAAAAATGTTGATGACGTCATCGCAATTTTTTTTTAAATTCCCACTACAAAAATGTAATGAGAAAAAAAACACAATAGGCATGCAGTCGTCAAGTTTCCGACAGCGAGGGAAGTACTGTCTAAACTCTTTAGACCAATTTTTTAACTGTTCTTTTAAGTTATCCGTATTTTTTTTATTTATAAACCATCCCCGTAATATAAAAAAATTTCAAATCAGTCAAGACGTTTTTGAGTCTTAGCGAGACTAACAGCAACAGCAATTGATTTTTATTTTATAGACGATTAAAAAATGGGGGTTGGTGGTAGAAAGGTGAAAATTTAGAGTTATGTGTATTTTTGATGACAAATCTTAAAAAAATGAAAATAAATTTTTTTTTTCCAAAAAATAGATAAACATTTTTTAGGGTGCACCACCCTTATCACTTAAGAGTTTAAAAAATAGTTTACAACTTATTGTCAGACCTACTGAATATGCATAAAAAATTTGATACAAATCGGTCAACTCATTTCGGAGAAGTTCGGTTACAAACACTGTGACGTGAGAATTTTATACATAATGCATTATTATTTTAGAACAAATTTCATTACCATAAAAAAGGTTATACTGACTCGACCTTAAAAGATAGACATATGCTGTCGCGAACTTTTCTTTAGATCTTTTATTAGAGGGGAACAATTTCGTCATACATGATTTTCACGTAACTTTAACCGTTTAAGCAGCGTAAGCAACGGAAGCTGTCAAAGGGGGAATAATTTTCCTGTTTTTCCGAATTTTTCATTGCTACTTCGCTCCTAATTATCGTAGCGTGATGTTATATAGCCTATATGTAGATATGATACATGGACTATCCAACACAAAAAGATTTTTTGAATTTGAACCAGTAGTTTCTGAGATATGCGTGTTCAAATAAACAAAAGCTTCAGCTTTGTTATATAAGTATAGATAAGAATGATAGTAAAAAACCATTATATATTTACTGACTTGTTTTAAGACATCAAAGTGCTCTGGATAAAACAATGCTGCTTGAATCCAAGTGCCCAACCCGGTTAATACAGGTTCAGGTGCGAGAGGTGTATTTGGTAAACTGTTTTTATAAAACTCTACTCTTATGGGTGCTTTTAAAAAGATTTTCTTAACATTGTTAATTATCCCATTGACATCTGGATAATTCAGTCTAATTGTTTCAGACACTAAATGTAACCCATGTGCCATACGTGTTAAGTGTGTTATATTTTCATAAAACACTTTCAGTATTAGTACCAGTTTGATCATGTATGAAGTACAATCTGATACAAACCATTTAACTTTTTTGTGTTCAGTTCCTTTTGGCCACAATAAAGCTACAAATTAACAACTAAATAAATTATAATAATTTCAATGCTTAAAATTATCAACAGCACACCCAATGATTAAATCTCGAGATTGTGTTGCTATTAGTTTTATCAAGCTGCTTCAAAGCTAATAGAAATGGACGGCCAGCTTCTTCAGAAGATAACTTTCCAATTACTAAATGGGCTGTGTATCTTCCTAATCTGTCCGTCGTCTCATCGACTCCAGTCCATATTTCATTATTGCCAATAGAATTTCTAATTTGTTTAATTACCTGTAAATTATAAAATTTATGTTAAAAAGTTTTTAAATACAAATTCTAGTGCTCACCATATAGTAATCTTTTGGTAGATAATTTTTTCTCAGAGTGCTTTTGCTGCGGTAAATGCCCTACATAAATCGGTGCAAAATTGCGTAAAATCATTGTCGCAACTAATGTTTAATAAAGTCTGTTTACTGGATTTATTCTCGTTCTTTTGATGTGCATCGCCAATGCAGTGTTGTTCAAAGTGTGATTTTTTTTCGCACTTAAACTAGGAAACAAAAATGTGAACATAATTCAAGCTTAAATATTTTAAATGTTTACTTTGAACTTTTCCACACACTTTGCAGAATAACTCACTGTTATCTTTCATGGATGATTTTACCTTAGGCATTTTGAGGATTCTTTACTGTATGCACAAAAATCAAAACCGGCCCCAGCACACTCACTAACACGCAAAGACACTCACTGTCACTAACAATAAACTTCTAAAATAAAATGCTTTTTCAGAGATTCACCTCCTTCCGGCTATAATCTAAATAAAATGAATGCCAGCGTTGTCAGTTGGCGACACCAACCCGTACCACTAAACTCAAGGGCGTTGTCCATTTTTAAACAATCTGCTAGCCAAAACAATGAATTTACGGAAAATCTCTATTGTGAAAGTTGGTCGTGGAATCCTATTTTAAGTCTTTTAAAATTTACAATTAGGTCGTTTAATTAACACTTTAGGTCTCTAACTGTAAATTAGGCATTTTAGGTAGTAAATGGGCGTTAAATAAACTGATTTTTTTAAATTCGGATAAATATATAACTTTTGCTGCAATGCCTGAAGTAGATATAAAAACGCAAAAAACCTAAGATCCGAAGCCTATTGATCATACCCTCTGAAGAATCATCTCATCTCCTATTTGTCATCAGAGGTCGCCGCAACCTGTCAATTGTCATTAGTTTCATTAGCTTTAAAGTAAATCTGCAAAAATATTCGAAGGGATTATTATCCGTAATAGGGGTTGGGAACCGACTGTTTGGATGAGAAGACGAGCACAATGAAGGTCCAAGATCATAAAATGGTTTGACCTGATTAATTGTGCGTCGTTTTCTCATCCAAACACTCCTTTCTTTATCCAGCTAGGTAGATGTTTAAATAAATATTGTTATGTTAAAATATGATATGTATCTATAATTTGTAGTCAGAAATGGTTACTAAATGTATAAGGTCTTCTTTTACAAAAAGCGGCACACCTGTCATGCTAGAACAAAATGCACTGCAGAATCTGAGAATTCACTTCGGATACAAGACGCTGATGCTAGAATTTGCAAGTTCCGAGAAGGGATGAATATCCTATATAACTAAGGGCCGGTCTTTTCATGTCCCAGATAAAGTGTCCGATAACTATCATCCCGATAACTTTACCTGGCGGTCTTATCTTCTAAATAAGCTCGTACCGTCTTTTCATTTTGCAACTGTTAGACATGGGTCTCCGATAACAATCAGCTAGTCCAGCTGTAAGCGAGAGAGTGGGAGCTATTGGTATTCTAACATGAATAAGAGAGAAAGACTATTTGCAACTGGGTTTGCAACAGTTTTTGACGTTCGAAGTCGTACCGTTGCTAACATAACCTCATTTACTTCGTATATTATCGTTTTGTTTTGATTACGCTATGGATGTCTATGAAGATATCGACATATTATTTGATGCAGATTTAATAAATGTGATCGAAGAAATAAATCCACATCGAACATATACTGTTCGCGAAAGGAGAGATCATTTCAACTTTTGGAATGACCAAGAGTTTTTCAATCGTTTTCGCCTTTCAAAAGCCACAGTAGAATTATTATTTAACGAAATTCAAGAGCATTTACATCATCGGACCGGAAGGTAAAAATAAATAGGAAATATTAGACGTACTATTAATTTGTGTTAATTTAAAACAGGAATTTAGATCGAGCTATTCGTCCTATGGATCAACTACTTTTAACGTTGCGATTTCTGGCCACCGGAGATTTTTATATTTGTACAGGTGATTTTCTGGGAGTCCATAAATCAACAGCAGCAAAAATAGTTCAACGTGTGGTAACAGCAATTTGTACGTTAAGAAGGATTTATATTTTTATGCCGAATACTGAGGAACAAAGACACGAGAAAATTATTAAATTTCATAATTTGGCTCAATTTCCACGAGTGATCGGGGCAATAGACTGTACGCACATAAAGTTACAATCTCCAGGAGGTGAGCGTGCGGAATTATTTCGATGTCGAAAGGGCTTTTTTTCATTGAATGTCCAAGTTATTTGTGATGCCAGTCATAAAATTTTGGATGTAGTGACACGTTGGCCAGGTTCGACACATGATGCCCACATATTTCAAAATTCATCTGTATATATGAGGTTTGAAAATGGCGAGATGGGCAATGGAATTTTATTAGGAGATAGTGGCTATCCTTCTCGAAGGTATCTTTTAACTCCGATTCATAATCCTGAAGGACAGGCAGAAAATCTTTATAATGAATCACAAATAAGAACTAGGAATGTTGTGGAGAGAACATTTGGAATCTGGAAGCGTAGATTTCCGGTGCTAAGTGTGGGTATAAGGTGTCGGCTGAATTTAGCACAGAGAATTGTGGTGGCATGTGCCATTTTACACAACATTGCCTGCCAACAAAATGAAGAAGTTTTTGAAGGGGATGATGAAGAGGATCAGCCCGTGGTATATAATGGTGTAGAAAATAACGATGGTGGTGTTGAAGAAAGGGAAACAATAATTGATTATTTTCGAAATATGTTGACTGCAGGAGGATTTATAATTTAGTACATGCATATGTATTATTTGTTTCATGCAAAATAAAAAAATGTTTTATTTTTCTAGCAACTCTAGTGTTTTTTTTTTAATCGATAATTCACATTCTAGTAACTCCATTTTTTTTAAATACAGTTTCTGTTCCCTCTCGATTTCTAAATCCAAAGCGGCTAATTTCTGTTTCTGAATTGCCATTTTTAATTCATGTTCTTCAACTCGACGAAGCTCCTCGTTTTCCAGGTACTTCTTCTGCAATTCTACAAGGTTATGACGTGAGTTCACCACATTCTCCACTTTCACGTTTAATTGGTCCTTGGTACAGTGCCCCTTTGCCTTTTTTTGATTTAGGAGAGGATGTTTTTTTGTTTTTAGTTGTGCAGGAGACCATCCCGTCCATTTAATATTTGAGTTCACTCCTGTACTTGAACCCTACAATCATTGCAACTGTTAAATGATATTTTACCGAGTATAGGCTCCTTACCTCTCCTCCGTCCTTTGAGCAAACCTGCAAAAGTCCCGGGACGATGGATTCCTCTGTTTCAGATGGATCAACATGTGCCTCCTGCAAATGCAAGTTAACGATTAGCAAAGAGTCAAATGACTAATTAAAGCAGAACTTATACATCAATTATTATTTGTGGCACTTGAGCATCTGATGTTAGATCCTCATTGACTCCAATTTCAATGTTCGGGTTATCTGATGTTTCACCATTCATTGCTAAAACATTGAAACAATTGTTTATATTTCAAAATTAATATCTATTTATATAATATCCATATTTTTACTGTGATTTTATGAAGAAAAAATTGATGTAGAGCAATAAACTTGCATATTTTGAAGGAATGTTTGATGCTTTTGCTTAAATTAGCGATAGTGACAGTAAAAATGTGAATGCAGCCCATGTATTCTCACTCATAGGAATCAATCCCTCATCTGAATCAAATTCGGATGGAAGTCCATTGACAGGCACTGTTAGGGACTCTAACAGTTCGGTCTCATAATCTTCAAAACTCATATACTGGGAAGATCCGCCACCAGTTTTGTACGTTTCTTTTTTATTGAACGCAACTTTGCGTTTTATATCTCTCTTCGTCGCTTCGTACTTTTGACGAATCCTTTCTGGTGTTCGGATTACATTTCCTATTTTTAATTACAATATATAATAAAAATATAATTTATATAACATGTAAAATAAATAACTTGCCTGTTATTGCATTGTATTCGGCAGCAATTTCTTTCCACGTCTCCTCTTTCTGCTTCCACGTGACGGAATCGGTTCTTTTATTTTCAATAATATGCGCCCTAGTAGCAATAATTTTTAAAAGCCGCCTTGTTTCAGCCTTCGTGTAATTTGGCTCCCTCTTCCGTTTTTCTTCATTTTCAATTTTTCGTTTGCCCATTTTTTTTAAATAATAAAATCACTCACGATTCAAATAAAAACAACACCTACACCAACCTATAACGGTCTTTGGCAGAAATGGCACGTCATCGACAAGTGAGCAATCGCGTAAGTTCGCTGCGCCATCGGCTGTCGCCGTCAGATATCTGTAGGAATCGGCGACTATTCGGAACTCAAAGTTCCGAATAGTGTATCTGCCGAATAAGAGCTATTTATCTGGGAGATAATTTTGTCAGGTGGTGAAAAGACACCATTTGACGTTATCCAGCAGATAAAAATTATCAGGAACTTTATCAGGAGGTGAAAAGACCGGCCCTAAATAATTTCAACAGAGTGATTTGGTTAGAAACTGCGGAAGCCGCTGCATTCAGATGCATCAGCATCAGTTCCCATTGCGTTTAATGTATGGCTGATCCAGGTATTTATTGGATCAACGGACTACTCTAGTGTGAAATTTACAAGAAAAGAAAAGAAAAGAAAAGAAAGAGGAATAGATTTTGATTTTTTCTTTTCTGTGGTCTCAAAGTAGAGTCAAAATACACTATATATGAATTAATAAGTATGTATTTTAGAGTTTGGTGTTAGTGTCAGTGCGGTGGCGAACAGCTCCAGTGTGAGTGTATATTTTTACTTCAATTTTTGAGATGTGTGCTAGACCAAAGCACGAGCAAATATGGCAACTGACAAGTTGGGGCGACCTATGGTGACACATAACAGATGAGATCGTTGTTCAAGGTATGTGATCACTTTAAAAATGGTGCATGGAAACGAATACGTAGTGATACTACCTAATTAGATAAAATACCAGTGTTCGGATGAGAAGACGAGGCACAATTCTTACTTAGAGAACAGATATCTGTAGAGTTTAATCTTGTTAAATATGTTCATAATTTATAAATTATATTAATGAAATTACTGACGTGCATTACTTTTTAATTGTAGATGCTTTAAAAATATATAGTCTAATCGACAGACATGATGATACTTTATGTTTGCAAAAACGCTTTGATAAGGTTTTTAAATGGTATATAAATAACAACTGATTAGTCAAAAGAACTAAGAGCTACATTTTCAAAGAAGGAAAATCTTGTTAATTTCGATTATAATATTGATGGCAATGTAGTCATTAGACCGAAAGTGGTACATGACCTCGGTATGGATTTTGATCCAAAAGTCTCTTTTAAATCTCGTGTTCAAGTTGTTACTGAGTTTCTTTTTGAAACATTAGATGTCATCATTCGTAATAGTCGTGAGTCTGGTGATGTTGAAATATTGAAATTATCCTATTTCACTTACTGCAATCTAACTTCATATTCAGGTAGATTTAAAGACCCTTAGATCGATGATAATCATTACAGATCTTAAAAACATTTTTTTTGTAAACCCAATTTACTGTACTCTATAAAATGTCAGCTTTATGAATTCCACAGAGCTGACATTTCCACGTTGTGGGCACCTAAATTCGAAGTTAAAGCGAACTCAAATGTGTGCAAGATTTGCATATAATTTCAGTCCAAAATACTGTTACGTTAACGGGTATTTAAAATCGGCGTGGGTAAAACTCAACAATTTATTTCTTACTAACTCAAATTTACACGACTAACTGCACAGCGATTATGTACAAAATAATTCCGACTCGACTGAATGACTAATAATTCCGGAGGTGGCCTCTATTTAATCCATAATTCCCTGATCGAGGTCTTTCTGGAATACCCATAGCGACTTCCGCTTCCAGGCTTTTCTTTAGCGAACGCCTCCCGGCCGCCGTCATCGACGATGAGTCACCCATAGGCGGCGTATGGGTTTATTTCGTAATAATACCTATAATTTTCTTATAATTTCAGAAAAATTGTGTGCGTATATGCCTGCTAAAAGTACAACTGAAAAACCAGGTAGTAAACCAACCAATAATGAACACAAAATAAAAATAAAAAGTCAGCACGGGAAAACGGACAATAATTGACAGTTGATAGCATTTGCATAGACACCTTTCATCTTTTATTTGTATATTGCTACAGTACCTAGTAGGCAGTACCTATTTGGCTAATTCTTTTTTTGCTGTGTTTGTAATTGTCAGGCCAAGGTTTGTATGAAACAAAATGTTTGCAAAATTGTACGGAAAAGTGAAAAATTTTGTTTAAAATATCTATATTATACATACATAAAATGTCTCGAATGACGTATCAACGCCCAGCCCAAACAACTAATGATAGAAATGTGAAATTTGGCGAGGATGTTCATTTTATACTGCAGGCATCGTTTAAGAAGAGATTTCTGAAAATTCATCCCCTAAGGGGGTGAAAAGGGTACTAAAATTAATTTGTATAGGACCAGTATTTGTACTGGAAATTTAAATTTTTACGTGAAACTTGGTATTAATGCTCTTCACACAAATACTGAAACACGTATTTCAACATTTTTGCGGAATCAACCTCTAAGGGGGTGAAAAGGGGTAGCTAAGTTTGTGTAGGAACAATATTTCTACTATAAATTGAAATTTTTACGTGAAACTTGGTATTAATGGTCTTCAAGACAAATAATGAAATCCGTATTTAAGCCTTTTCAACGATTCAACCCCTAAGGGGCTAAAAAGTGGTGGCATATTTCAGATTTTTTCGAGATTCCACTCCTAAGAAGATTAAACGGGCGAACACAGTTTGTATGAGGAAAATATTTTTATGTCGATTGTTACTGAAAACTTTGAATTAATGCTCTTCAACAGATTTTTTACTTGAAGCTTGGTAATAATAATGCTCTTCAACACAACGAATCGTCTACGCGATTTTTTTAAGTGCTATTTTTATAATAACCCATATTTTATATAATTTTGCAATGTCATTAGTTTATTATTTAAGAATCACCTATTTATAATACTCACATTTGTTCTTTAGAGGGAATCCAATGAAGAACACTTACATATTGGACAGTGTATATCTGAGAGATTATTTTCCAGAAGTACTGCTTAATAGGTTTAAACTGTCATGTTTATTGAATAGCTGTATACAAGGAGGAATACAATAATGTTCCGTGAACTTGTATAATAGGTATATCTATAGAGTTGAACAAAGTAAATGTACGTAACAAAATCACTTTTTGTTTACCTAGACTACGTGCAGTTAGTTAATGGATTTGGTTCTCTCTTAATGCAAATATTCTCTAATTGCATATATCTAGAGAATGACGTTGATATATTTGATTGCACACTACAGCAAATTAGAAGGTTTTGTGTTGCCTACTAATTTCTACTTAACATATTTTTTTTGGTTTAATTCTATTTTGCACTGGAGGGTTTGAAACCACACGCACATAAAACAGTCATGTTGCATATTCCAAATCTAATTTTGTTTATAAAATTTTGAGAAGACGTCATCTTTTTTGTGGAAACGAATATTAATTATGAAACGTACAGTATTATTACACGACAAAGAAAATTGTTGTGTTCGTTGGGTTTCAGAAAATAATGTAAAATAAATCGCTTCGTTCATTGTTTTTGAGACATTCTGTATAAAGAATAATTAAAAATACGGATACACATTAGTAGTAACAACAAAATAATATGTCATAGGCTATTAATAAATAAACATATATTTAATAAATTCTCGAGTCGTCAGTTTTCTGGAGGAGACGCATACATAAGTTTTATAATCATTAATTATTATTAATAAACCAATGTTAGGACACACGAAAATTTCAAAAAGTTCGTTAAATTGATAACATTCCATTAAACAAATTTTATTACCTCCTGAAATAATTTGTACGGTTACAGTTAAATCTGTGGTACACTATTAAACCACAGGCAAACGGGCTATAAATTTCAAATTCACAGATTTAGCGCCGGTTTATAGCACCTGAATTAAATATTTAGTTCTAATTGAAATCTAATATGTGATTAACCTGTAGATCCGAGAGTTTGATTGGTTCAGTTAAATCACGTGTTGGTTAACTGAGTGGTTAAGTTAATAGCGTGATTAATGCTTTTGTAAACCGCATTAAACTTTTTAAATCATCTACACGATAACATCAAGTTAGGTCTAAAATTCTAAGTAAATTTTAATTTTCAAAGTAATCAGTTCTCTAGTTCCGCAGATTATCTGTCTAATAAATTCACCAACAAATAGATATACAGACAAACGGCAGAGAGACGGAAACGAGGGACTGACATTTTCGTATTCTGCGAGCTGTGAAACGTGGAATTAGACGTTCGTCAAAATGACCCGATTATAATGCATCACTGAGCTTATCTCCGGAAGTAAAAACCTACAACATGCAGAGAGTTCGAGCTAAATCATTGTTTCCTGGAAACTTTAAAACAGCTGAACCTCGAGGAATATCAATTGCAAGTTAATTCAAGAAATCAATTGGGTTGGCAGATATGTTTTGCAAGAGGCAGCTGTGACAGTATTTTCAAACTTTTGCAACCAATACCAAACAATTTATAGAAACGAAGAAATTACGAACATAAATTACTAGGAACATCGATTTTTCTTGAAACCGTTGGTCAGTGTATAAATTTAGAAATGGCGTGAAGACTATTAAACGCCGAAGTGTCAGCTCTAATAGAAAAAAATTAAGGAATAAAACATGACATTTTATTGAATTAAAGAGGAAATGTCTATACTTCCCTGAACTAGTAGATCTTTGTTGTCTGTTGATAACTGTTTTTCTTATTAAATACAAAAAAATTTATAACAGGTCAAAATATCTCCTCATCAAATAAATCATTTTTCTAGAAGAGTAAAAATTATGGATTATAAAATAAAGGACAATACTAAAAACACAACTATGGCATATTCTAAAAAGAACAATAAACAAGGGGTAACAGAGTTGTGTTAGGAGTCTATTAAATTCTAAAAATATAAAAAAGTTTAAAAATACATATTTATTGGTAGTTTAAACAAATTGTAGAAATAAAATAACTGTTTCAATTTAGAACTTGTAATAGCCTGGATGCATATCGTAGTAGGAGCACCGCATTGGAGCTATCCTCGAGTTGGCAGTGTTGGTTACATTTCAGATAGTTTACTATCGATTGCTTGGAAGAGAACTGA